ATATGACTGAATGGCTACAGTCTCATGATAAAACTTGAACACATGAGGATTTGATATTTTATGGTTAAGCAAAGAGAGTAGTTTCTTGAGATGGAATCTACTCCTGGTGAAGATACTGTGAATGTTGTGATATTGTAAAAAGTATTTAGTATTTCAGAAACACTTAGTTGATAAGGCAGCAGCAGGCTTTGACAAGACCGAGTCCAATTTTGAAAGAAGTTTTACTGTAGATAAAATGCTCTCAAACAGCGTAGTATGCTACAGAGAAATCTTTTGTGAAAGGAAGTATCAATTGATGCAACAAATTTCATTTTTGTCTTATTTTAAGAAATTGCTGCAGTGACCCCAGCTTTCATCATTCAGCAGCCATCAGCCTCAAGGCAAGACCCTCTGCCAGGAAAAGTTTAACTTGATGAAGGCTCAGATGATTGTTAGCATTTTTTAGCAATAAAGTATTTTTAAATTAAGGTATGCAAATTGCTTTTCAGGCATTATGACTTTGTACATTTAATAGTCTACAGTACAGTGTAAACATAATTTTAATTTTTAGTTTGTTTTTCTTTTTCAATTTTATTTTAGAATTTGGGGACGTGCATGTTAGCTACAAAGGTATATTGCATGATGCCTAGGTTTGGGTATGAATGAACCCATCATCCAGGCACTGAGCATAGTACACCTCAGGTAGTTTTTCGGCTTTAATGCCCCTCTTCCTCTCTCCACTCTAGTAGTTTCTAATATCTATTGTTCCCATTTTTATATTCATATGTAGCCACTGTTTACCTACCACTTATAAGAGCAAACATGCAGTGCATGGTTTTCTGTTCCTGTGTTAATTCATTCTGGATTATGGCCTTCAACTATATCCATGTTGCTGCAAAGGACATCATTTTGTTCTTTCTTATACTATCCCATGGTGTAAATGCACCACATTTGCTTTGTCCAGTCCACCATTGATGGGCACCTGGGTTGATTTCATAAACATAACTTTTATATGCACTGGGAAACCCAAAACTTTGTGTCTCTACTTATTGAGATGTTCACTTTATTGTAGTGGTCTGGAACTAAGATCACAGTATTTTGATATGTGCCTGTATACATACATTGTGAATGGCCTGTTCAAGCTAATTAACATTGCATTAGTTCACATACTTATTTTTTATTTTTCATGTGCTAAGAACAGTTAAAATCTTTCTTAGCAATTTTCAAGAATACAACATATTGTCATTAACTTTAGTCATTATGCTGTATAATAGCTCTCTTAATTTACTTCTTTTCTTCTTCTTCTTCTTCTTTTTTTTTTTTTTTTTTTTTTTTTTTTTTTTTTT